ATGAACCCAGAAAAAACAGTCCTAAGACATACAATAAGAACCAGATTAATTGTAAATTAAATAAATTTTAAATGGTCAAAGCAGATGTTCCTTTTGGTTTAGAGACATCTTATTTCATCTCCAAATAGAGTTTGCTTTTAAGTAAAATAAGGAGTAGTTTCTGAAGTGTCTAACTGATGCAAGTACTCTTCAGGCCAAGATAAGACAGACATTTTTGCCATTTTTTACATTGTTTGCTTTGTATGGACATACACAACCTGCTGGTAATAAAATTTACAGAATTCAGTTCTCTTTACACTTTTTCCTAAGTCAGCAAATTTTAAAAAATCACACATAGGCATTGGCATTTGTGTGTCTAACTTATAGAAAAAACAAAATACCATTAAACATATGTGCTAGACCCTATTTTATAAAAATCTATGAGCACAGATTTAGCCTTGATGCTAATGATGACTCAGGGAAAAAAATTAATATGTCTCTACATTTCACCTAAATGTGGAAGAAAAAGTCTAGGAAATTAAGGGATACCTAAGGTTATGTATTTTTCCTTCTGTGACAGAGGCACTTAAGTGACTCAGAAATCACCCTTCGTACACATATACACAATGGTTGCACATCCCAATCCCATTTATTTTACCTTCTTTCTATGCCTGCAAGGATAGAGTTTATGCATTCATACCTCCTAAATTTCTTTGTTTCTTAATTCTGACTTTTTGCTGATTTTAGGAATAAGAAAGTAAGCAACTTTTTTGAGCAAAGATGACCTATTCAAGACTTAATATTGGGAAAATGAGAGCAAGACTACAAACAGCTAAAACTGGGAATTTCCAGTTTAATGGAAAATGCTGGTATTTTGATTATTCTGAATCAGAACAAACTATTTCAAAATTTCCCACAAAGCAGAAATTAAAAAAAACTTTTAAAAAGCTTTCAAAAATGTTGAAACACATTTTGTTTGAGCTTTTTAGTTTTTTTAATATTGATTTCCATATTTTGTATTTTTGTTTTACAGTCATAACTCATATAAGAGTTATAACTCATCTCACGCCACTTAATGTGTAACTTCCATAATATATTATAATTTTTAAACATTTAATTGTTCAAATTGTGAACAATTATATCCAATAGTTGATGTATATTTCATTTGAGTAGGAAAATAAGACCAATATTTGGCTTTGTATTACAGAGCACATTTGTTTCAAAAACCAAGGAAAACCTCATGTTAATATGAAGATATTCAAAACCGTAGCCACTTTAATTAATACTATAAATTAAAATTTTAATGTAATTTTCTCTTATTCATCACAGCATTTTCACCATACACCATCAGTTTACAAGTCCATGGATTAATTTTGAGCTGCTAATATCATCAGTTTTTTCTACCACTGCTACCTATAAGCCATAATTCTGGACTTTCTCACATATCCAACCTGTTCTTGAAACACTCATGTTTTTCTTGATCAGCAAATAGAAAGGATTTAAATTTATATGATCCTCTCTAAAACTGAATCATGAAGCTTGCACTCTCCCTGCTTTTCCCAAATGAGAAACTGTTTTTCATGGCCCTGTTTTCTGCTCAGTGCCTCTTCAATACTGACAAAGTAATGACAGCTCAGACTGCATGCCCTCATCCTTCTCATCACATTTATTTCTTGTATTTCATCTAGTGATGATGCTGCTTATGTCACCATTACAAAAGATTTTGGGGCTTTCCTTAAAAAAGTTCTTTAGCTCAAATCAACTAGCAAAATGATTTTTTATTGACTTCCCAACTTTTAATTTGAGGAAAGGAATTTTCCACCATATACTAGACTAATCAGTAGCTTCAACACAGAATTCTATATTAATAAAATAATCCCCTTCATCTCTTCCTCCAAAGACAAACTTGTCTATGCTATTTTATATAACGAAGAACAATTTACCAGCCACTGTGTTTATTGCCTTCTTCCATCCTCTCCTAAACTATGCTCTCTGCCCTATCACCCTCTCAGTGGTATCTATTATAATGGTGATATCTCTTACAGTGGTTCTATCTACTACAATGGTTCTATCTCGGTTTTCTATCGGAAAACTTGTAAGCCCACTGTAAAAATCCCAAACAAAAGTTACCAATAATTGCATTTGGAAAGAGTGATCTAACAGAGAATACAAGACAAAGGCACACTGATTCAGGTATTTTCAGGCATTGTGGCAATGTTCCCACCTTTTAAGAAAGATTTAAGTAGGGACAATATATTAATTAGGATAATCGCGTATTTGTGTATTTGCTATCTTCTATAAAACATAGTTGTCTCTGGAAAAACTGATACATGAACTCTATAGCTTAAGAGCATGTTAGTGAAATAATTGGAGTATTAAAGTACAAAAGATGAGGATCAGAACACATAAATTCCTAAATACCTGATCCTATTTCTCACACATTTCATATATCTTTGTGGCCACTATAATACTGAAGGTTATACTTAAGATGCCAAACAAGGAGATACATATGCTATTGCCTTTTAATGTAGAATAGCAACACACATTCCAATTAGAAAACTTTTCTGATCTGTACGTCTTTTGTAAATACTTTAAAAACTGCCATAGACTCTGTAGTTTACAGGTGCATTTTATTCAAGGGAATGTATACAACTGCATAAGTATGCAATCATACAGTACTTTATTCTACGTGGTTTAAAAAGATATTATATTTAATAAGGGAGAAATTAACCAATCTCCAGTAGTTAACTGACTGCTATACTGACCAGAATATTATCACCAGCACAGAAGCTTTATTTTAGGAAACTAACAATCCCTGTATCAGTATGACCTAAGCGATTTTTAATTTTCTGTTAAATAAAAATGGAATAATTCTTGGTGAAGAAAATCAGTGCACTAAGTCTAAAAATCCCTAATGGAAGCCTTTCTTGAATCTCTTCTGTTTTTCTGCCTTTTCACAATACCTGTTTAAAACAAGAATCAAAAGAAAGAAGTGAAAATGCAACAGAACCTTAGGCTGGTCAGGTGCATTGAGGAAAGGCATTGAGAACGTATCTGGGGAAAGAACCAGAATTACCAGTTGTTTAGATTGTTATGATTCTCTGATTACCCTGGCAGCCCAAAGCTGAATCTTCTACTGTGTGCTACTCTCATGACCAGAAGAGGCCTGGTGAAACCTAGGAGAAAGCAAGCAGGTAGGAGTGAGAAGAGCATTTGAAACCCAGGCAGCAGGGAGACTATGAAGGAGTTTATTCCTCCTCATATTTAGGAAGAAAAAGACAGAAGTTAAAAAAAAAACAAAAAAAAAAATCAGAGCTTTCTTATTTGTCTTCCCACATTCTTCTCCAAGGCTAGTGGAATAAGGGATACATATCCTACAAGTGGCAGCAGGTTTCATCAAGGTATGTGAAGAATGGTGCTACCATTCAGTGACCTCTGAAATGCAGAGAGGAGAATAAAACAGACCAGAACATTAAAATTCAGCACCTGTGTTACAAATGTGTATCAGAATACTTGAAATATTACTATTAGCTGGACTAAACAAACTTGCCTCAAAGCCCCCTGTGCTTCTGCCATTATGGTGCATTAGAAGAAATCACTTCCAAAGATTAATCAGCTTAGCTAACCAAACACTGTTGAAAACTGCACAAAGTAGAGCATTAGCCATTCACAGAGGATACAAATAACTAAATGTGTCCTTTCTGCCTGGCAAGTGCCCTATAGTTCAAGGTGGATCTGAAAACTGAGAACAGATCTGGGCCAACATGATCTCAATTGTTATTTTCAATAATAAAGTACAGCTAGCACCTCAGCATGCAACCCTCACTGGAAGTTGACAGGGACAAAATGCAATGTTCTGAAACAGCTTTTCTGGAAGTTGTGCACTTCTTCATGTGTTTGGTCTCTGGAGCTCCAGCCTTGTTTATTCCTCTATTTTTAAATGCCGTCTTCCAAACCCAAAGGGTAACAAGTATAAACTGCGTCTATAAAACAACATCACAACTTTATTCTCAATAGCTAAGTATTGAAATGCAAGCATACATTATAAATAGAAAAACAGCTGGCTTGGAGCACATTGCAAGCCACTAACACAGTTGAGGGATTTGAATGACATCATAACCCGTGAGAGCATGTTGCTGGCCAGCTGGTGTTATTTATAATATACTCATAATTGAGGAAAAATAAAAAGGCAGAAGTTAGGTATTGCAGAACTAATAAAGTTGAATTCTCTCTTTCCCAGTGTCATTTAAATTGTTATCAAGAGAAATTTGAAGATTATTACTTAAAAAGGGGGGGGGGGGGGGGGTAAGTCACTTTATAATTACAGCAGCAGATTTAAGATAAATATCATGGAAGCCCCCCAAATTGGGCTACTTGTGTCACTATATCCATAGTACTGTAAGTTCTAGGAAATTACATGATTTCTTCTGTGTGGTTGCTGAAAGATCACAAAGCCATTTTGCCCTATTTACAAGTAGTTCTCAACAATTCTGTTATTTTTAGCAAATTACAAACTGCTATTTTAGGGTTAATCACAGAGAGAGTTAGAGGTTTTAATTGCTACTTAGCATATAGGCATGCCAAGTTTAATAACGTATAGACACGTTAAGGGAAAAGTAGATAACTGCCTGCCTGCCTTTCTGTACTATGTAAGTAAAATACCTATGCTGCTATGCATAAATAAAATGTGTGTATATATATATATATATATATATGTATATACAAAGGTATGCATATATACGAACATTGCCCATACATATTTTTTATATATTTGAAATGCACACACAGCTACCTGAAAGTTAACCAGAATACATTTTCATATTTTTCATGGCAGCACAAGCTCTTTTTGTCTACTAACCCCTCAGTCACTAATTCACATTCTTTTAAAGGGAAAAAAATATGCTTCTGTGCTCTAGTTTTAAAATGCAAAGGTATGATGTTATTTGTCACCATGCCCAAAAAAGTCCTTACTCGGTAACTTTGCCAGAAGAGGGAGAGAGAGAGAGGCAAATGCTCCCCCAGCTGTTTCCTGTCTACAGTGTCTGTGTAATGTAGATAAATGTGAGGATTTTCTCTAAATCCCTCTTCTGTTTGCTAAATCTCACTGTCACTGCTAAAATCAGAGCAGATAGAGCCTGCGCAATGGAATAAAGTCCTCAATATTGAAATGTGACATTGCTCTCAACATCTCACATCTCTCTGGATTTCTTTTTTCTCATCATTACTGCTAACAAATTCATTTCCAGACTTTGCACTTTCAAGAAGCAATGGAAAAAATCAACAGTCTTTCAACACAATTAGTTAAGTGCTGCTTGTGTGATTTCTTGAAGGTAAATCTTTATTACTATTTCAAATAATTTTTTAGTTTTATTTTGCTGTGTATTGTCTGCTGCTGGCTTGAGTATTGTGCACTTTTCAATAACATTATTTTAGAACTGAGAATTATTTATAAATTGCTGAACATGCAATTTTATATGATCTGGAAAATGGCTGTATGTAATAGTTGCAATTACATAGATAACTGTATGGGTAAACTATTGCAAATACATGTCTTAAATTTCACTTCTATTCAGAGAACTTTGTAATATTTCAGTTATGTCATTGTTAAAAGGTCCACTTACATCATTGTCTATATTGTTAATGAATGCTTCTGAAAACAAGAACTTTTAGCTATTTTCTGCAGGTGCAGGGTTTTATAGGAAAAAAGGTATTGTTCACATGTTAAGTTTCTGCAGTTTTATTATGCACAATTATAGAGAAAATGTTCATGCTTTCACAAGGAAACTTTTAAGGGATGTTGTCACTGCAGCAATTTGCTGACAGCATCGTGGCATTTACTTGGTTTTTGCCTTCATAAATTAAAAGTAAATGAGAAGTTCAGTTTGTTTTCTACATTAGAAACCAGCTGCAACTCTTGCTGACCTTGCATATTTGTACAGCTTAAGCAATTGTACATTAAGAAAATGGAAATTCCCTTACATGTTCATCTCCAAGTTTTCCCTTCTAGGGAGGGCTTTTTCAGGAAAGTTTGCATGTGAAGTTTGACGTTATGACCCTATAATTTCTGCACAATAATATAAACTGTCTAAAGGTAAATTTGACTTCAGTAGGTGCATTGACCTCTGTTTCTGTCAATTGGCTCCAGTCCAACTTTCCATTATCTGCAAATTTATACCCTTCAAGAACTTTTTTCCACCCTAATATTTTGCAAGGATACTTATGCAGTTGGAAGAATTATCTTATTTTAATTATTTAGGGCCTAATTATATTTTTTAGTTGGTCTTACACTTAAAACACACTTATCTTATTCTTTAATGACCTAATTACAGGTCTGTAATTGCAAGGGATGAAATCATTCCCTTAATGTATAAATGGGCATCCTTTCCAATACACTTGAAAGATGAAGGGCTGTTTTTTTTTTTTTTTAAAGTATTGAGCAAGGCACTAAGAGACAAAAAGTAATGTGCTAGTTCCTCAGCTGTGCATCCTGCCAAGCTTCCTTGGAATCAATGGAACATATTGATTTAGGTTAGCATGTAGCCCAGATTCTTTGCTCAAAGTTAACAGTATTTAAACCTTGATCCACTCTAGAGTACATATGCTTTATTTATATAACAATTACTAGTGAATACTGATATTTCATAATAATTGCACATTTCTAATATGACTTGATAATCAGGCCCAACCCCTCTGGAATAAAATGTCATTTTGAATATATAATAATATAATCTTGATTTCTTGCTATAGCATATAATCTCCAAAAATATGTTGCCTCCTTTAAGATACTTATAATTCTTGCAGATGTTCTTACATGTTACTAAAATGACTGAGCATATGAAGAATTCTTATGCACAACTTGTGTCAAGTGATAGTTTGTTAAAGGAAGGGGACTTACATAGAAGAATTAAGAAGTGAATGAGATTTAGAGTGTTCGTATATGATACTCCTTTGTGGTCCTACTCTTCTGGACTACTAAAAGAGGAATGTAGCAAAAGCTGGCTATTTTACTGAAAAAAAAAAAAATTCCAGCTGTGAAAATATGGTCAGTCGTTCTATGCAACTAAAAGAAGTGCTTAACCAGGATCATCTTGAACCTGTATTCAATTTCCTAACGTAATTAGATGCTTCGATAAACCCCACCCACACACCAATGCGTTTTCTTTTAAGCTCTCAACTTTCTAGTCAAATTGGGGATAATGCAAGCACTCTGCTTGATTGTAGAGAACCTGAAGCAATATTGGATTACAACTTTGTATTTTCTTGAGAATATTCCCCTCAGATATAAAGGGGTACTTTGATTTTATCACAAGCATATTGAATCAATTGATGTTGTGTTTAATTAAAATGATGAAGTAAAGTTAAAGTTTTAAACTATGTTTTGGAATTTCCTTTGATGAAACAGTACTTAATTTATCAAATAATTGATTGAACCCTAGAAACATGTGAGCCTGTTTTCTTTTCTGCAAAGTTTTTACTTGTTTGAAAGTCTTGACTGTTGTTAAATTTGGAGATAAAGTTAGAAATTCTCTGTGGTTTATACTGTGCAGCCTTTTTTGGCTTCCACTAAAGGAAAAACAGTAGATAATCTGTTTTGTCGTAGTTCAGTGCTGATATTTATCTGAAAATGCAAGCCAGCTGAGAAGTCTTGAAAAATAAAAAATTGTTAAATGTCTAAAATTTATGTTTCTTTCTGGACCAAATGTTATACGAGAACAAATTGTTAAATACATAATGTTCTTGTATTTATAATGTCTTTCAGCTTTCTGAGGCAGTGTGCTAAACAGCTTTCTGCTTTACCTCCTCAGAACTGGGAACCATCTTAAACTGCAGGTGCATCACATTTATCTTATAAATTCAAAAAAATGGCAAAGAAGAAAAGAAATTGTTGTTAAGATATGGAATCATTACAGGAAATAGTGCCTCATGTTATCATCATTCATTTATAATCTTATCTTTTTCCATCTGCCATTAAAGTCATGTCCATGCATTCGAGCTTGTTGGGGTTTACATGGCAAAGTTGGCTAAAGACATTTGTGAATGGGAAAATAATTATTCTTTCTTTTTTTATGACATATCATGGGATTTTAAATTGTTCATTATTTTCACAGTGGAAGTAAGGGACTCATCCAGCCAGGCACCAAGATCTCTTACCAAGAAAATAAGAATTCTTAAAAATTATTGACTAAAAAGGCTCAATACCCCACTGGATCAGACCCCAATTGATCAGAAAATAGATAACTTCATCTTTTTTCCAAAAGTTCAGTGAAGAAATATTAAAGATTAAATGGTCCCTGAAACCCTGAAAGAAACTTCAGGGAGGATTAATCATTTTACTTCAATTACTTTGCACTAGACTGCTAACACAAAGCAGTTTTAAGCCAAGTTTAACTGTATGTGGAAGACAGATTTGTAACTTTTTACCTGACTGCAATGCTAATGTTAACCTTGAAAGAGAATGAAATTAAACACAGACTTACACCTTTCAAAACTATCATTTTTGGCAAGTGATCTAAATAAGTTCAGAATATGCATTAAGCACATTTCTCAGTGTCCTGCTACTATACATAAATAACTTTTCCTAGTATTAATAGAAAACCTATCTTCTTTGCATGTTGGGTAAGAAATTAGGTGGACATAAAGGAATACAAAAAGAAGTGGAAATCGATTGCAATTTTACACTCATTGAGCACTGTCCTTTCTTCAGTCATAAGTACAGGAAAAAGATAGTTCATAACCAAATGTAAATGAGAAAAGAATTATCACCTCATGCCACAGCTTCCTAAGAGGATATAATGGAGGTCAGTGAAGTACAGCTGTTTGCAACAAGTGAAAATACAAATCGTTAACGGACTAAAATTCACGGTCCTGTTAATTTCTCAAATGTTTTCAAATGTTTGCCTGCTAGTAACAGGGGGACTGTAAGAGTCACTGAATGTGGTCTTCTGCTACAGAAGATCCCACATCAACTCCTGTAACTTTGACAAGTTGAACCTTGTAACATTTCTGGTTTATCCTGGTATTTTCCTTTCTAAGGTGGCTGGAGAACTGTGGAGTACCATTAGTGGGCTCTTTTTCTATTGGCCAAATTTCCTTACAGCAAATTTAGAGCCACTTATTCTTGAGACAATGATGGTTTTAGTTTAAATAGCTCTTCTCCATCATATGCCACCCCCATTTCCCACAGTACATTGGCAGGCACCTGTCACATTCCCTCTTAGCTTATCTGGTCTGAGAGAAACCAAAGCAAGGCTGTTTTCCTTATTCCTCTTACTCCAGGCTTCCTTTTGTCTGTCTATTCCACTCTTCCATATTTTGCTTTCCAAAAGCAAATATAAGCACTACAGGGTTCCCTAACCAGATGTGATTGTGAGTATTCACCAGAATAAATAATCTGTTTTCAAAATACATGGATTAGAACGTGTAGGCATTTGCAAAATCATGGTGAGACATTTCCTGATACCATGCTTATTGTCCAAGAAATCACAGTACATGTTCATTCTCATTCACAAGGGTGCAGGAATCATTTTTTGTAAGACTCTGGGGGAATTCTGACACTGCTTCTGTTTCCTTGGCAGGTGAAGATGCACACTGTGTCCTACATCCATTTCTTCTACCTTGGCCTGTGTTTGCTTACCTTGACCAGTTCTGTTGCTGCTGGCCCAGAAACACTCTGTGGTGCTGAGCTGGTTGATGCTCTTCAGTTCGTGTGTGGAGACAGAGGCTTTTACTTCAGTAAGTCCACCCTTTCTTTCATTTAACTGCTAAACACTTCCATGTAATCCACTGGACTCTGCAACTGCTGTAAATGAGCTTAGCTGTGATCATCCAGGCTGCCAACTAGGACTGGCATCCTATACCTGGAAGATGCTCAAGCCTCCAGTTACCATGAAACCTCAGTAAAGAATAAAGGTGTGCCTTCGTTCAGCCTCTCTGAGTTTCTGACAAATTTTCATTTTCAGACTTGTTATTATTTTTCACCGCTTCCCAGCTGTCGCTATTCCACCTGCTGTATTGCTGCTTTCCACTGACCTGTCACTGAAATTAAATGGATGAGAGCACATACGAAACCCAAGACACTCATGAGGCAGAACTACATGTACCTGTTATGTCAGACCACTAGTAAACACTTTAAGTACACACTGTATCATATTAAAAACACACTAAGTTTCAACATCTGGTTTGAAAAAAAAGAAGAGCTGGAAGGCAGCAAGCAGAAAGTTACCACATCCAAGTATCCACATGCTTCATCATTTAAATACAGGTGGAGGCAAATTCATGCATGGTGAGATAATAAAGATTAACACCAGTACAGGCAACAGATAAAATTAGCTCTGCAATAGTGAGGATCAAGAAATACTCAACTTTTAAGTAACAGAAATCTAGTTCCGATTTTCAGCTATTTGCAACTTCAATAACGAAGTTAATGAAACTTTTTAGCTAGGAATATATTCATTCTGAATACATTCATTAATATATTTTTTTTCAAAACATGATGGAATTTGTGCTCCTATAGCCTCTGAAGCTAGCAGTTACCTTTAATAACAATATATGCTTCTCGGATATTCTTGATATTCCTTCATGGTTGAAGCTTCTTGTCTTCTAAGCTATCATTTTTTGTTTTCTGATCATACCTACCCTATTCCTATTTATTTCTATTCATAAAGTCATTGCTTTCTATGTTTCCTTCTTGCTTACAATAAAAACAAATTCAAACTCTTGCACTTCTAAAATCCTAATTTCCTCAACATATAAATTGTAGAGATTTTCACTATCTCCTTGGCACATTTTATTAAAGTTTACTTTTGAAACCTTAGTTTTATGTATGCAAAGTAATCCACAAAGGGTTCACAAAAGAACCCTTATTTTCTGCATTTAACACCTCAACTCTTGTAAATAAACACCTACTCCAGGGTACTGTTTAGCTTAGTACTCTGGTGCTAAACACGGTATTAAAAGTACTGGAATCTCTCATAGAGAAATTTACATTTTCCTACAAACTCGTCAGGTGTTCAGCAATACACCAAAATCTGCTGGATTTATTAGCATCGGCATTAGGGATTACTCGAATGTCCTACAAATGTTTTGTGGCTGGGAGTGCATGTAAAGACTGTCATCTCACCCTCCTGTTTCTGCATCCAAAAACAATGAGACAAAACATCCTTAGAACAGCAGAGCAATTGTTCTTTGACTGCGTATGTATCTCAGGTGTTTCTCTACCAGCAAAATGTTTGCCGCTGGTTCAGAGACCTCTCATGCTTGCTTTCCACAAGAGTAGCTGTTACTGCCCAGCAATCAGACCAGCTGTTAGGTGTACTTTGTGATCCTCAAGGTAAGAGGTCATGTGAAATGCTAATCATTAGCAATAACTCTCTTTGGTTTCAATCTCAGTTATTCTAAGGTTTCACAATCTGTTTCAAATCTCTACCCTAAGCTAGATCGTCCTTAATTTAAAATAGCACGATGGGCTTCCAGTGTTTCAAAGGAGATCACTAACTTTGCAATCTCGACCTTTATCTGCTGTTTAGACTTTCTCTCTCGTCTTTGTTGTTTTCTGACATTCCGACTTTTCACTTGCAATATTGTAATGACACCATAAATGTCGACCTTGTTTCATATGGAAAACTATGGAAGGTTTTACTTATGAATGACCACCCTGCTTTATGAAAGTCTTGCACAGTTATAATCAATAGACTGCAGTTGCATCATTCAACAGGAATGTTATGAAGCCGATATGTATGTGGCCCCTTGGGTGTCAAGTAATGTGTGTAGTCTACCTGGCTACTTCTTATTCACGAGGAAGAAATTTAATCTGTTTTTACCTTCTCCCTCTTATTTGTAAGAGTTCAATCTAAAGTACAAAACTAGAGAAAAGTAAGCCCGGTAACATTGGTAAAACAAATTGAGATCCTCATATCAAATGTATTACAGAATGCAGCATATTATTAGAAGATAAAAATGTTGCTTGACTTCTTGGGACTTTTTAAGAATGCCACATCATTTGCAGAGGTAAAAACCCAATGAAATTTTTCTTTTTTTTGTAAAGAGTATGTCAATAAAAGTAATATTTTAAGCCTTCTATTCTCATACTCTGGTTCCTTTAAATAAAGTATAATTAATGGTAGTGTTTGCCTTTAAATTGCACAGGAAATAGCTGTGAGGAAAATTTTTTTCTTCCATCATTCTGTATTTCACTAGAGACTCCAAATATAAAGAATACCTTTTGGCTGAGGTGGAAGTCCTGGTTCAGAGTCAAGGTCAAAGCTTCTGACTATTCCTTGGGAGTTATGGGTGGAAGTGAAGATAGAAATAATTGTATTGCTTTCTATTGAAACTCTGTACTTCCCAACCACAAGGCTATATCTCTGGATAGGACTGGAAGACAAAAATTTCTTTCATATAGTCTACTCTGCCCAACTTTCTAGCTATAAAAGGAAACTCTTTACAACTTCTGAGGAGATGCCTCAGCTGCTTACCACACACAAAGAGAAGTACTGACATCAAATGTGGTTTCTACCACTCTCTTTTGTCTTGAGATAGACTGACAAGGAGCATTTTTCAAAGCTTTTTAGGGGATAACACAGCACAAATCCCCAAACTGAGCATCTACTATTTTTCCTTGGTCACATTTAACTCCAACCAGCACTGGCTACTCCTCAGACAGCTTTTTGTCTCCTGTGATTTACCAGAGAAAAGCAGATTTTTGTTGCCACTTTTTATCTAGGGACATGTCTCTAGGAGAACTTCTGCCCCTCAGGTTCCTGATAGGTTTTGTTAGGGGAAGGTGACAGAATCTGTCACAGCTACAAAAGTGGCTACACTTAAATACAGCTTTTCTCAATGTTTCTCCAGTCTCAAAACCTCTTGATCCAACAGTCATGAAGCCAAGTGGGATGGCTTCAGCATTCACCATGGTAGGTTTACAAAACAATGCTGAGAGCAGAGAATCTTGGAAAAACTTAAAGAAGAAATTAAAGGAAACTTACAAAAGTGAAAGCCTAGGAAGGGGGAAATTTTCCTTGGAATAGTCTAGCCTTATCACAGGAATTTACTTTGTAGATTGGTAAAAAAAAGATACAAATTATTTCTTAATAAATATTGGATTTGCTGAACATTCATTCTTGCTCATGCTGTTTTCTGAGGGCTATTACGTGAGATCCAGTAGTTTGTTCTAAGAAGAAAATGCTATATTCTTTTTTTATCTAGTTTCTTCTCCTTTGAAAATATACCTTTTCCTTTTACAATAAATACATAGCAGTCTTGCTAACAAGACATGAGTGCCAATAAAGAAACAGATTTCTCAATTCCTTAGATATTTTCAGTCTTCTAAAGCCCAAGTTATAGGGCAATACTTATTTGAAACCATGACAATCAACTTCATGAATTAAAACTCCACCTTTTTTTTCTGCTAAAAGCACTGCTTTAGTCTTGTGGTGAATCTTCTGAACCATCACTTGCATTAAAAAAAAGAGCTGAATTTAGATACCTGGGATACTGGAGTTCCTCTGATATTCTTCAGAGAATGGAAAATGATCTAGTGCATGCTTCCATGTGTAAAGCAGTGTATCCCATAAAAGATGGGCTTTTCTGGCATCCAGCTTAATGTTCCCTGTGTCAAATACTTTGTGGAGAATTACTGCAGACTTTCACTACTTTTTTTTGTCCACTAAGACAATCAAAATTGTGTGTTGTCCTTGGGAAAATCCCCGCTGTGCACAATGTAAGACTATTAGTTTATAATCATCAGAAAATCAGGATAAGCCATATGAACATATTATGAACATAATTTTGGGTAATGAGAGCTGTCATGAGATCTCATTGCTTTGTAGAACTAAGGTATATGTGGAGGAATTGCTGCCTTAGAAAAGAGGAAACAAGCAGCAGAGCAATAGGTAATTACGTTTTGCTTCTCCCATTTCTCTCTAGTTAAGAGCTTCTTATTTACTTCAGGAAGTCTGCTTTTAAGATGTTATTAAAGTTTCTAGGCCTGTCAAACCTATCAGCATAATTACAAGAGATGGCATGGCACTCAGTTCTTTAAGTACTCCATACCTGTAGGAGCTATGAGTCATTATCTCCTCTCTGCATCCCTGATTGAAAGGAATGTTAATGTTAGAAGCCCAGCAGAGGCATGCTGAAAAGCTGCCACGGACACACACAGACTCTGGTGTCACTGACAGTCTTACAAATCTTTGCAAACAAATGCTGGTCATCTTGGCTGTGTTCACACAGCAAGATCTGAGAGTGTTTTTAAGTTCCTTGGTCTGGCTACATGCCCCATTCATGTCCAAACGCCGTATCTATGGAAGATTTGAGTGTGTTCCTCTATCTGTCCCTAGGTTCCTTACTTCTTACAAGAAAGCTAACCTGGAAAGGAGCTCAGATGTGCTTTAGCCAGGTCTGCAGGGTCGGTGCTCAGGGAATCAGAACTATAGGCACAGCTACTGATGTATCTGTATAAGAAAGAAAACAGCTCTGGCTTCTGGAATTAGCACTGTAAAGTCAAACAGCTGGCACAAATTTGATGTGTGCTTTGTTGCCCCTGGTAGTAAACATTGAGGAAGTTCTCTAAAAATAAGCCACCCTTTGAAAAGATTTTGTAATTTTTTACAGCATTAAGAAAGGGTAAGGAGTTGTTCACAAAGGCTAACCTTAGTTTAGTGAGGTTAATCTTCTTAAGTTACCTCTTTAATAACAGAGAGAGAGGTTCTGTCTTCTTTCTCCATGGATTGCAA